TCGAATCCCCATACTACTCCCTTGTGAGCATAAGTTCATAGGATGCTTACTGCCCAGTTTAGTTATGTCGGACGGGCTACTAACTTTTGAGGTCTGAAATACCTTGGGTAACTAAGGGAAGCATGAAGCGTAAAGTCAAACAAAATGTACTGTTACAAGTCAGCAACTGGCCAAGCCAACTGAATTTCGTGTTATATCTCGCCATGCAAAAAAAAATTCAGAACGAGCAAAGTCGAGTAAATTTCGTACCATTTTATGTACCTGAGTCCAGTGATTCGGATCCACAGGTTCACTATCCGAAAGGTGGCTAGATCTAGCAGGGTCAGACTGATAGTTTTCACAAAGTGGCTAAAAATAGGTTCATAAGTAGTTAATGAAGTTTTGGGATTAAAATTCCGCAAAATATCGTCTTTTATCATCCATTCCTGTAGCTAATACCAGCTCGAAGTTAGTAATACCTAGTATGAGTAGGCTAATGGGTCTAAATAATAATTTTCACCAAAATATACATCCGACAGAGATGGGAACATACAGTTAAAAGGGCGTACTCTTGATAGAGAAAGCTAAATGTACACAAACCTTTTGCATGTTTGAAGAATGCTCTTTATTCTGAACAACATAGCACTCTGGCTTCACCCGCCTGACGGTTTTCACAATAATATTTGAGTCGCCTTTCTAGCGCCTTCATACTTATGAACAGGCAAGACTAACTGCACCAATTCATTGCCTTCTAGCTGCTAAACGTACAATGCCTCACTAAAATGTAGTTGGATCCTGCGGTAATCCTCCAGCTACTTGAAACAATTAAGTATTCATGTTTCCGCTGCTGTGGATTGTTAATTGGCTTCATTGACATATTGCTAACTATCCTGTCTCCTATGTGTCAGAAACTGGCGATCAACCACATGGACCTGGGCATCTTTGAAGGGATGCCCGATCCACAACAAACGCAGTTAGCAGCTTTTGAGGGCGGGCTATTTTACTTTACTGAGATCCTGCGTAAATTAACCGCTGCATATCCAAAGCCGTATATGACACTCCTATACTTCGGTGACATCAGCGTAACTTAAATACTCTGACCCTGAGTTCGTCTGCTGCTCGAATTTTGTGGAGGAAGAGCCAAAATTTTAGATGTTATTTAAAACTTAAGCAAGTGCAACATGTCGGCTAGGCATCGCAAACACTGCCAAGACTAACTCGTCCTGATTGAAAGCATAAGAGCTGCGAACTTCATATGCGCAATGTCTGGATCATAAGCTAATGGGGAGCTAGTGCCACTGAAAATTCACAGTCAGTATACAGCCTCTGCTATTACATCAGCTTCCGCTGGGGACAGTCTAAGGGGAAATAAAAACTTATTTCACCGTTCTAGCTGGTGAGGCGACTAAATTGAATTGGTTTTTGCCGCTACTCTATATGTACAAAGCTGTTCATCATTTATAAACGTAGCAATATTTATTTAAGTCCACGGTTTGTACCTCTCAAGCGTCGGATTTCGTATCATACAACCTAGATTATTTTAACGAGAAATCTAAGAAACAACCTCGGCAGAAGTATTTATTGTGGGACAAACTCTTCTGCCATATGTCTGCAATTATAAGTTACCGAGCAAACAGCGGAAGTTCAAATAATAGCTTGCAATTGCCACGAGTACGAACCTACGTACTGCATCTGAAACATGCAGGTGGCCTAACCGTACCGCAGGACTCGGACGGGCAGTGTCTAACCTTCTGTTCTGAGCGTGCATTTAGGTTGGCAGCACAGTTCATTACTGCATTTAAAAACAAAACTCATCTAAATGTATTTCTTTTGTCAAACCTATTACTGTGATTTTGAAGAGGGGCATTAAGTACTCGCCGATTTTAGGCAACGCCAAGCTTGCTTGGTCGTTTCTCACCAGCAAATTTTTGACTGTTTATAAACCATTATCATGCCAACAGTGACAGATATGCTCAACAGGTACCTGCCCAAAATGTTCATTGCCCAGCGATTAGAAATGAAATTTAGGATAACCATTACAGATGACAGTTTGCCTATAAAGTGGCCATGTACTGGTTTATTTGTTTGACATATATGTAGTCATTGTAACAGTGAAAATAATGAGGGATAATTTGTTGCAGCTGCCTAAACCTAAGGATCACCTGACTGCTTCTCGCGGCAGCGCCATAAAAGACCGTTACTGCATCAGTAAGCTTTATTGACTCGGCATGATTGTTTGCAAACTATGAAATATGGTAGACCATCAACATGATAGGGTTCGGAAGAGCGTTAAACAAAGTGCGCAACGAACTCTCCCTTTATGCTTTGGAGGACTGGCTTGTTAATGGTTCAGGGTGAAGATGACTCCATGCTCTTGTCCTTGGGCGAAAGCAGTGGACATTCCCGATAGGAAGAAGAAGAGCCATTACTACTAGACCAGTGGCGTACACCATTGCACAATGGGTGGGCTACTTATATTATTTGCGTACATCATGATCCAACTCGAAGCAGGCTCTCATGATATACAGGCGACTTTAAATGTCGATGTTTACAGCCTAGTTTAGCAAGGACTTGATCAACGTTCCATTTGGTCTGCTGACTCTAAACGTCTCAGCAAGAATTCAAGAAGAAGTGGAGAGAGCTAATCTAGGATTTCGCTGGTTAACCGGCGCTGCACATACTATCCGCGATGGATCCAAGCATGATCCAAAGCTTCAACTTGAGGTCCATAGAGAAAATGAGCAAGTTATTCCACAACTGCATGCATTTGCCTTAGGCGAGCAAAAGACTGTGTAGCTCAGCCAAACTGTGTTGGTCTAGTTAAGATGTAGATCGGGAACGCAGAAGGCAGGTAATCATTGATATTTTACCTGCGTGCAGAAGTAAATATACTGGAAATATTGCGATACTTACGAGCACTAACAAACGCATAACAAACCAGACGTTCAATTAGAATTGTCGCCTAGGTATCGCTCCTGCGCAAAATATTCCCTCGGTTGGACTCACCCGCATTTCCATTTTCCAACTAGAAGTGTGTAAATGTGATATGATAGCATATAAGTCATCAATTATTTTACTCATCGTTTGGTCTCTGATATGCATACATTATGGGGATTCATACCTTAAGCCCGTTCCATCATACAGGTTTTTTGAGCAAGGCACTTTTCCTAAAGTCGGTGATGCAATTAAAATATGCCGTGCAAGCGAAATATTGAAGACATCAATCCGTCACTTCAGAAGGTTAGCTTAGTCGTAGCTTATGCATTTGATCTGAAAATATTGCGAATCATTAACCGTCCATCGTAAGCCTAGTGCAAAAGTACGACTGGCTTATTTGCTTTCCCGTAACTAAAGAAGAGTGGCAAAGCTTGTATTGGTCCTTCGCGTGGATACTGTGTGCTCAACCTCAATTTTGGGTGTGGGGCGTGCCGATATTGGTAAGGAGACCAAAACTCTTGGCGCGGTTTTACATTGGGTTACGAGAGGAACTCACTACCACCCACCGTAAGTAAGACTTCAGTGTGCTTGCATGGTCAGGCCATAATTATACTCACCCACACAATACTGCAAATGTAGACAATTATATATGAATATAACAAGGGAATTGAAGTGATTGAACCATACCTCATGGTGGGGGCTGAGAGGGACAATGTTTGGTGTAGTCTGACTAGACGTATTGCCGAGGCAAGATCAATTACATCAATTAGGATATCTCTGGATACTGGTTTGCAAATGCTTACCTCAGAGAGCTTATCTCTGCTGAACATGAAATCTCAGATTTGTGAACAGTTAACTTAATTTGGAACGCTTAATTTCATTTTTCCGCAAAAATGCGAAGAACGATTAGCCTACTGAAATTAGTTTAATAACTTTTATTGGGCCAATCACACGTTTACAAACACTGTATTTTTTCAATGTATACATGGAGACTATCCTTTTTTGTTGGCCATGACAGAGTTCCGACCAAGTCACACACACACACACACACAAGTGTCTTTCGGCAAAATATCACTTAGCCTCTACGCATCACATATGCGTATGAAGTATCATTCCATTCAATGTGTCGTCGTTTTGAATATGGATAGGGCCATGGCATGTCATTATTCGTTTCATTCACCCATCTCTAAAAGTGTTGACCAAGCACTTCTTAAGAAGTGAGCTGGTGGTTAGCCGCAACAATCGCACCAGAAGCAAAATAGTTCATTATGTGGATATCACGTAGGCATAGAAGCTACAAGGTAGTCCGCCGACTGACCATTTCTTTGCATTCTGTAGATTAATTAAAAACTCTAGGTAATAAAATTTTGACGATTTCTAAGTTTACCAATATGGTAGCCATTTGGGTTATCCGGAAGCAAAACTGAATGGAAGCGGCTACCGACAGTTGCATTTGACATACAGGGTCATTTCTGGGGTAGGAATGATTCAGTTAATAACCGCTCGGAAAAACAATGTTGACGCATTTCGAGTGGTAAACTTAAGTGTGTCCAAAACAACTCACACAAGGTGTAGTTCGTTCCAGCTGCTTTTCCGGTTGACTTTTGCTTCGATGTAGAGGGACACAGACAACTTGCAGCACTTAGCTTTGCTTTGAACACACGTAGTCTTTATTGCGGTCTAGACAGGGGTGGGGCAAACGGCTGAGATTTTCAGTTATGTTGACTAGAGTATTGGGCGACACCTTAGACCAATGTACCAGATGGTGAAGAAGTATTCGAGTCGTCACATGGATTGTGTGCTTAGGCAATGAAAAATAAAGCACTATGGAATTAAAAGCATTTTGCTGTTCTTCTATTAGACGGCTTATCCTTGCATAGGTACAGAGGATGCAAGGGTCAGATTAAGTACACCGCCTACTTAAACCGAAGTTTTCTACGTTTTATAGTAAAATGTATGGTACCATTTTGTCCTCTTTTCAGTTTTGCATTTCAGGAATGGTAAGAACAGCGAATTAAGGTTTGTGGATGCTTTCGTACAAAGATGATTAAAGAAGGGATACCACAGATAAGTGTATTAAAGTAAAATCTGAGAAATATATTTCGGGATAAAAACAATACAGGAAAGCATAAGTCTTCTTTGATTGATTCCGATCGCAGCAACTGGTAAGTCCTGCATTCTGGAAGAATCGAAAATTCTGTTAGGGTTACAGACTGTGCTTTGTCACTCTAGATGCGTTCTGGAAGTGCCATTATAATCTGTCTCATTGACACCGGACAAGGGTGTGCATACATGGACAAGTGGTACAGTGAACGCCGGATGCTGTAGAGCGTTTGTGTAACCTTGGTGGTTGAACACAGTATTCTCGTTACCATCCGATTCCAATGATAGACTCGCTGGCGACGGTAGCCAAATGGATTTCTGAACCGACAACACCGGGACAACCATCGTCTCCAAACTATCCCCATTTCCACTGTCTTTGTCGACCGATCCGAAACAGTTTCGCTTCATTGTCTATAATAAATAATTATCACATGAGTCATCACAGTTGCTTGTACGGGAAAGTTTAACAAAATTTGCAGCGCTCATCATCCAAACTTGTGGTACGCTTTTCAAGATATTCATGGGGAATTTAGGAAGAGTCAAAGTCACTCTTGTGTATTATTACCGTTTGGTCTTACGTACAAGTAAGTACATACATATGTACTAGTTATTCTTGTAGCCATGCGCGTTGCATCGTGGAAAATTCTTCAAAATGAACGTGGGCATATATAGCATAGGTTATATTTTCTAAAGTTGCTTTACTGAGAGGGGAAATATTATGGGTGAATTTATTTCGGTATATTCAGTTTCTTAAGGACAACAGCCGTAGTCAAATCAACGGTTTCCATTTGGATAATGGTAGAACGATTTAAGTTATACAAATACATGACGCAATTACATGATGGCAATGTACACATTTGTCTGAATGAAAGTCAATATCTTGTTCGAATATTTGCAGAGTTGCAGCTCGCAAGCATAAGAAAGAGCCAAGATGTGATGTCATTGGTGATGACAGACAGATTCAGGCTAGCAGGAGTTCAAACCTAACTATCCTGCTTGGTTTCAAACAATAAATATACGGCTATCTTGTTTCTTCCAGGAATAAATATCAGGGATTTCCTTAACCTGACACTATAAGATTATGGATAGTGTAATTACTAGTTAGAAGATTTATTAGTTCAGCTACGTCTCCAATTCTTTAGCATCTAAAAATTAGCATTACTAGCTTCAAGTTCAATCGATGAGATGCATTCCGCATGCATTTGCGGTTTTCACACTAGATGAAACTGATTTATCTTCATCGAGTTTCAAATTATTCGCATAACTGATTGGTTGACTCGGTTTTTGTGCATACTGGATGAAACCATCAGTTTGTCAACTAGATCGATTGAAACCATGCTCAAAATAATTGTGTGGTTGGGTATCATGATTGTTGATTGTAACTTGCAGTACGCCAAACAAAACGTTCACCCTACTATAATGCTCGTTGAGTGTAGAGATGCGGTATACCGATAAAGTGGAAACCATTCGATTAGGCTTGAATCATTTTGCAAACAGCACATTTAAGCAACCGTCTTAGAAAGCACGCGTTCTGTTGCGAAGGATCTGTTAGTAGCGATTGTTTTACTTGAATAAAATTCATTCAAAAATGTGTGCATCTTTGAAGGTATGGTCAAAACAGGTCGGCCATAAGAAGTGCAAACCCATGGTTAAGCGGTTTGTTGGAATCTGATAGCTCCAAGATTGTGATTAGAGTGCAAGGAAAAATGGAAATAATGCTTTAGGAACGCAATTCCAGAAAACTGACAGACATGCAGGAAAGAATAAATTCTGATAGAAATGAAATTGGTCGTAAGCTCAAGTCCGTTCTACTGCGCACCAACTCTACCGCCTAACTACGACTGATTTACGCTACAAGGAGGATCCCTCTCCGCAACCGTCCGAGTAGCTCACCGATAAGTTCGGCCTATAACAGCAACTACCAGTTCACTTGCAGTTGCGGTGACACATCAGCAAGACCGGTCACCGGCTAGCTCAAATGATTGCGGAACACTTCCCATTGTGGCTAAGACAGTTGCTGTCTCACCAAGGCGGAGCGGACCAAAGAATGAACCGGAACGCCGCCTCGTCTATTACCAAAAACCTATGGACGAGTCGTCGCCAGGTGAATCCAATCGATTCATTCAAGGCGCTATTGCGCAACAGGAACTCGACATTGTTGGCAATTGGAGAGGGGCTACTAATAAGGTTGAATTGTCCCATGCTCTGGGCCCAGAAAAAACTGATGCAGTCAATTAGATTGCCTTGGACCTGACTGCATTATTCACATCAATTTGATCTGCTTATCTATGTTAATAAGTGTCGGCCGTATTAATTATGTGATATGTCAAATTCTATGTGAACAATTCAGAAACGTTGATATGGCCACGATCGTCGCGCCCTCCACCTAACAAAATATTAACCTAGACTAAAGTGCCATAACCATCATTTCCATCAAGGATATTGAGTCTAAGGCAAACTGTTGCGGGTAATGCTCACAATTCGACCCTTATCAATGAAGTTTCCTTTGTGATTATCTCGATGTTCAGGACCAGGCGACTAACAAAACGTGTATTACTGGACATCAAATTCGATGCCATACGGCTATTTCGAACGTCTGGTGAACACCGGGATCCACGATTGATGTCGATTAGGTGCTTTTTAACATTTCTTTCCCGGAGTGGAAAGTTTAAGATACGCGTATTTTTCCATGTCACATTGAGCCGTAGTTTGCGGGGAAAATAATTCGAACTATCACCAAGGGGTAGGAACGGAAGAACCCTTTTCTTTCAAGGGTGACTTAGCTACCGGAAGGAACTGGCGACACTTCACTAGAAAGCGCAGGCTTATGACCTAGGATACTAAAACTACGTTTGTGGAATACCCTGCTACTGAAATCATATTTCAGTCCATTTCAAGGCTACCAGTGACTATTTACTACGAAGGTAATGACCCGGGGATAACGAATCATATACTTTAAGCCCTAACAAATGGCAGTAAACATACTCCGTAGCTATTAGATATTGCGAAACACACTTCCACTGGAACTACGATAAAAGGCAGCAGCTGGAAAATCACAGCCACTCGCTGTCATGTAGGAAAGACACTAACTAAAGACCGAAGTAACTACGACAGCAATATAGAAAACTGTGTGCTCAGAATAGTAGCTATTAAACACTCTACTACTCGGCTGTAAACCGCATGTACAGGTAGGATCAAAGCTGAATTGCAGTCATTCCGAGGTTTTGCTTTGCATTATGCTCTATCAAATTATCCAAAAAGCGACTGGTTTCCTGCTTCCTATCGATTGGCTGAATCCACATACTTCAGCTCTACATTGTCAAGCGTTTTTGACGTCAAGGAAGCGTTTCTGCATATTCACCAACTCCCAGAACCTGTTTAGTAAACATTCCCAACTGCGACTCATTAATAAACTAAAGGTCCGTGAATTTTTCGCCATAAGGGGTCCGCGCCAAAAATAGATATATTGGTCTTGTTGTTAGGCAATATCGAATAAGTTATGTGCGTCGGGTGGTTCTGTTCTTCCCATGTGGCCTTCAGTGATGGACCCATAGAGGTTCCGGTTAATAAAGTGTAGGATTACCTTTGGTGCTCTTTACGCTTGGGGGCCCAAGCTTTTTTGGTGTTTACACTTCACCGCACTTTATTCTCAGCGCCCAAGATAAACTGTGATCTGATGCTCTAGTTAAATTGCATTCTAAATATTTAGTATAATCACATTTGTTCTGTTAACGATTCAAGTCTCCATGATTTGGAATAATATGTAGCAACTAAATAAAGGTTAAAAGCGGCTGTGCACGGTTGCGCCAATTCTTTTTATGAAAGAGCTTGTCTGCATGTTTCCGCTCGATGAACACCTCAACAATCACCCCAGACTTACAGCGACAGACTAGACGTTAATATTAGACTGGATATTTACAAACAAAGAGCTCATACTTCAAAGAATGATCGTGGAATGCTCTCTGGGCCCCAAGAATCATATAGTCCTATTCATCGAATAAGTCTATTATGGACAATATCTCGTGGAAATTACGGTAATAACATGAGCTAATAAACACTTCATTAGTGCGATAAACAACTGCGTCTTCCCAGCAGACGATGCACCGAGTAGCACCTAGCAACTTCTCGTCTACAAGTTTTGTTAACACTCTGGTTGCGGTGGCTTCGGAAACTAAGCTGTCTACTCGAGAAAAGTGGTCTCCTTTGTACAAATTATCTAACGCAGGGGGATATTGTTGCGAAACACGGCCTAGCATATCTGTGATATATATAGGTACGGAACCCGGGATGGCTTTTGTTGACTCAACATAAAGCTCCTCTTAAATTTTCCTCTAGGATACATCGACATAACAGCATGACAAGTGTGTACGGTTTCAAATCAGGAGCTGCAATATCAACATCTAAGAAGCGTATGTAAGTTGAGTCGGGGAATTTCTCATCTGCAAACATCCGATGGACTAAGGAGAACCTGTCGAATGCCCTGCTCTTAACTTTCGGCGCGTTCACAGGCAACCTAACAGTGCCAATTGTTGCAGGACCATGAAAACTCACTTACATGTTCTTTGCGACCGAAAATTTACTTAAAACTCTGCTTTGTTTACCTAACCATAGTTCTTCAGGACGTGAAAATATTTGTTTGTTGTCACTTCTGGTGTCAGGAGATAGGATATGCGGGACTTTGGCCCTATCCTTGAAGTACTGTTTTGAAGAAATGTATGTGCTTGGCATGTAGAAATAAGGCGTGTTAACTCCAATTCTCAAGAAAGGTAATCGCTCTGATTCAGCTAACTACCATCCTGTAAACATCTTACGGCGTTTTTCGTAGTCATGGAATCCATCAGTGCCAATTCGTCAAGTGACTACTTCGAAGAACTTAGCTACTTCGCATTAGAAAAGCATGGCATCTAACGAAATCGATTATGCGCTACGAATCTAGTAGTAGCACGACCCAGCTGGAGTGCAGCAATAGCACTGGTGCAGGAGTAGATGCAGTTTAGATTTCCCAAAGGCATTCGATCAATGCAACCATGACATCCTTCTTTTATAAACCCCAGCTCTCGGCATTAACAACCTACATTTAGGGATGAACCGAAAATTTGAACAGGAACCTGTTTTCTCTGTCAACAATAATCAAGAGTCTTCTCGCACCGTATCAGTGTTTAAGCACAGTAGTGGCTTATTTTGCCTTCAGTAGTTGTTTTAGTTTACTTTTTAAATGTAAGCACCATGCACTGCTCGCAGATCGATCAAGCTTTCTCAGCATCAAGTAAGAAAAAGTTGATTCAACGTGAACCTTTAGAGTATAATTCGGGAAATGACGTAATAACTGGCGATGTGTTAAAAGAAGTGGCCAATTACTGTCTCACCAATAATCTGCTAATGATTCAACCTCGTTAAAATGCTTAGAACGGGTCTTGAAAGCATGATTTAAGAAAAGTTGCAAGACAAACAGTTGCTTTGTTAGCTCATTGTATTTTGTGAAGTGACATGCCCAGAAACGTTAATTGGATCTGAGACCCTGAGTTTTTGTTCTGACGCTATGCAAACTGAGACATTCCTCAAGTCAATTAGTTAATTAACTCATTGGTATAAACAAGGCTTGACAACGGGCAGGTGGATTGACATGTTAAGAAGAAATTTAGGTCGTTATTTTTGTTCTGAATTTCTTTTCAAGTAAAATGTGCGATTTCATGCACCCATGATGCGTGAATCACCTCGCGTCGGGGCAAGACGAATTTAGCTTGTTGCCACTACCAACCTGAACTTAATGAGTGCGTAATGCTGGAGGCCATGGATCAACTCAACCTCCTCATAATACGAAATAAAATTGGTAAATTTCAAGTTCATTGTGCTCATAGCCATTGTTATCCCTATAAATATGTATATGTATATATATATGTATACATATATTCCTTGGATAACGAGATTCGGTTTCTGAGGTATAAACCTTCAGCAGGCCAGTAAGCAAGATATCAGCACAGTATACTGAAATAACAATATCCTAGTTTAAATGATTCTCATCTTCAACTGTGTACAGTGTTCTGCTATATGAATAACGTGCAAGTAATAGCTTAGACTTCACTAAAGTGCACAAGGTCGCATGACTGTAGTTAAATCGGAAGTGCTCGATGAATTACTTACCCACATCTTAGGCGTGTTGCCATGGAAGACAGGGTGACTGTAATGTAGCAGTTCAAATCTTTAGGTTTTGGGGTCGAGAGGTACGGAATGAAATTTCAATGAGAATCTAGTAGATTGACGCAACTACAGAATATGACGCATTCAGATTGGGTTAAACACTATCTCTTGCCTCTTGCTTTCATCTATGCAACCTATATCGTATGTAATGATTTATTCAAAATTCGTGTCAGTTCGAGTTGAATGTATCAATTACGAGTACTGGAAATGTTACAGTTTGGGTCGAAGCGAACATGGTGGCATTCTCAGGTAAGTGGTATCCATAGTCAAAACTCTCTCGGTCATGCCCCTAGCAGTATTTTCGAGAAACCCGTCTTTCTATTGTTGCAGCTATTAAGGCATCCATAAGTTAAATATGGAGCATCTTTTAATGGATATTTACTCTTTTGACAAGTATAGCTCAGCCAGCAATAGTGCACGTTTATATTATGATATAAATAATTACAAGTACAAGAAATGGAGCCGATACCCGTTTGGTAGCAGCCCGAAACTTTTGACCCTAACGCAGCCCGAATCTAATTGGCAAACTAATGCGAGCGAGCTAATGATGACCTTTCGCTTAAACGCTACCAAAGAGAATGGTCTAACTTTAATCCTGCCATTCAGCGTTAAGCCATACCATTGTTCACTATTGTTTTCAGCCCATTATTTGTTTGTTTATACTGCTTGCTGGATGTTCAATGCAGATTATGCCTGAGGTCTTTGTCTGTAAATTTGGAAAGTCGGCCAGTCAGCTTATACACTAGCAGCGGGTTATCCCTAAAATAATGGGAAAACACAATTGATTTTGGAGACGGAGCTGAAAAGAATCAGGATGCCTATTTTATTAGAAGACATGAAGCTCATTTTGCTACAACAACAGCAGCAGTTCGAAGCTGCATAGCAGCGAATGCTTGAGATTTCAACTCGAGAGTTGTCTCCACTGTCTACACCTATTTAGAACAGTAGCAAGCCTTCAGCGGACGCAGTGATCACCAGCTTTAATGTTAATTTGTAGCCTGATCTGGACTGGTATTTGATGTAGGATTCATACCGTGAAGATGTTTTCAGGACAGAGTTGTCAACTCTCGACGATGCAGCAAACGTTCGTTTGCTGTGTGAAAGAGTAAACATAGATATCTTTGATCCCGTGAATGGTCAGTAACATCTGGTCGTTGTTTATTCCATTAACAACTAGACTGTCTTGTGCACGCAGCATACAACAAGTGATGGAACAATCAAACTTTTTAGAATACTTTACAGCCTGGATGGAAGAACTGAATCCTTATTCTCTTACAATGATTCTCAATTCCATACTTCCAAACTTAACAAGATTTGCGCTCAGAATAGCAGCACAAATCTACGCTCATCACGGTTTCACCTCCAATGAAGTGGACAATCAAAATGTTTCGTTGACACCTTTAAGCGATCACTAATGAAGATAGTGGGCGAAAAATCTACGCAAGCCTGACTATGCGCTTTCCTGCTAGTGTATAGCTGAGCCTCAAACTCCCAAGTGCCAAAACGATTGTCGGCAGCAGGAGCATTAATTGGGAGAAAGTTCCGTATTGTAAACAACTTGCTAATCACGACGTGTACTATCCCACAATATAGGTACCTACAAATAAAAAGGTATTACAGTGAGTGACACGGAACATAAGCAAGTTAAATTTTTCCTAAGACGGGGAGTTTTGTCAAGGGACTATTGTTTCCACCTTATTATTTGATTGTTTATACTGCTTGCGGTGTACTCCGCACAATTTTCGCCATAGGCATTTTTCTTCTAATGTGTAAAGTCCGCCGGTCAGCTTGCGCACTAGCCGCGACTTATCACTACGATCAACAGAAAACACAACAATCAAGTTCTTCAAATTTACCAATCGATATTACATACTCTACAATGTATGTAAAAGTACCCTCTGTCAGGTAGGGTAAGCAAAAATAAATGTCACCGGACGTTACACGTTACGACAATTTTGTCTCATTCATTAGAAAACCCAGGATTACTAGATGAGAATTCCTGGTCTTGGAATGGCGCTTTAATATCCTTAAATAAAGCAGACCTACAGTATAGCAACTCACAAAAAGCGTTCACTCCAAGATGCGAAGTCATGTAATCCTCTGACAGCGCAATGGCGACGGCATTGGGTTGAAATTAGTGCACATGTAGTTTACAGAAGTGAATGTTAGCCAAACCGGGCCAGTTGCCTCTTGATCATGCAGTGTCATATTTATATTTAAATCAGCAGATAATGGTATCTTAATGTCCGATAAGTGCATATTGCGTCCTGATATTGACCAAGACCATATTTATATGTGAAGTCACTTGAACTAGCAAGGATTGCTTTGGATACTTGCGCCTCTCCCATTTCAATACTGCTGTGTCATATCTCGACATGAGTGTCATTTTTTCCAAATAAATATAATATTCCCTTCCCGAGCATTAGGAGATACCAGTTAGAGATATTCCATTATGTATGGGCTTATACCACTGAAAAGTACCGGTTTGGAATCATCCGAAAAATTTGCGTCAATTAAATAGCCCTATTTTGTGTATATAGAACTTTAGGTTAGACGAAACTCAGGGACACTATGGTAATTTACGATAGCTGAGACACATTTCATATTATAATACAGAGACAGATACCTATGTCTACTTACTGTTAATAACCTTTCATTTTAGGTAATCAAATTACACAGACGACCAATGGTACTGAATAATAAGGCACTCTTTTGTCGCAAATGTGTCCGTCAAATGTTTTAGAATAACGGAAGTGATATGCTCATGGTATGCTGGAGGGTTATACGTTGTGTAGCAGAAAAAACTAGATTATCCCAAGTGCTCATTTAAATCAGTTTCTTCAAGATAATATATAAACTCGCTTCTGCTCTTGTTATTTCACTGTACGTGTAGCCGTAACTTAAAGCAGATTGAGGCTAATTTTCCACCATATAATAAGTTATAATCTAGACTGCGTGTGTGAATAATGCTACAACGTTAACTATAAAGGCAACATCAATTACAGTTAGGTGTGCCAAAAATAATGTGTGATCTATGTGAGACGTTAGTTGGCTGAAATTTCAACGGGGTGTAATCAGGAAACTTACATGTTTTGAGTGAGCACATAGGTGTTGCATTTCAGTTGCGTGGTTGTAATCGAGCAAAGCTACCGGTTGTGAGTAACCAGCAGGAAGTTTCAATGGTAACCAAGACTGTTTCGATAATCCAGCCTCTGTGGCATCAGCTAAGTTTTCCATAGGGAATGACTCGGAAGGGTACAGAAATATCGGCTTGTTTTGACAGGATGTGTTGACAAGCTGCACTGTCGTCTTGTTGACCATGTTCTCCAGTTTCAAGTGCGCACCATGATCGGATTTGTAGCAGGATGTTTTGAGCAGATTAGGCCTAACCGTTTCGGTTATGGAACTGGATGTTTCAGAAGGTTTCTGGGGCGTTTCAAAGCTTCCGATCGTACATTGTGTGGTAGTGGGGATTGGGGTGAAACTGTCAAGACCACACCTGGTTTGGTTGTCCAAAGTCTTAGTAGGTTTTATCTGAGCTTCTCTACAGCACTGCGCTGAAAATTTAAGAGATAAATGCATATAATATATGAAGTATTAGATGAGTAACTTATTAAGTTGATTTCGAACATGTTTCACGATAAGAAATTTTGGTTTCAAAAGCATTATATTTATGGAGGTCGGCAGGCTAGACATAGATTAAAACTGAAAACTTGTATTCCGCGGCTGCTGCGTTGGTATTAAGTACTTAAATCTATTTCCGCACGCTGGCGATAATGTATTGATAGATTATTAATTTGCCGTATGAGGTATACTTTTCTGGGGGATCATGAAAAATCGATAACATCATGTTGAAGACATAGTCAGACAAGCTGGAACATACCATTTTGCTTAGTTGAAATAGCATCGAATCCTTGCTGTGCATTGTCCTAAGAAGACACAGAAGGAATGCACGAATATTTTCTGTGCAGTTAACTATACTAGTTTCAAACTCCTTTTTCGTAAAGCAGTACGCCTTGAGTCGTAGTGGTGGCTGAGCTACTCTGGGCGCATCAGTTACTCTCATTCGAACTTGTTGCTCAGTATGTCAGTTAGGACAACTGCCTGCCGCCTAATCTAACAAAGAGGTAGCCCCACATGTGTCTCGTGCTCTCCTCCTTCACACACATTATTCATCCTAGTCCTGACTGGCTTCCGTTGTTGTGCTCACACAGGCTTCCTTGAGGACAACCAAGGTTAATCACCTGGGATAGCAAAGACCGCAACCGATTCTGGTCTACTAGCTATATTACTTTGCACACACTATGCTTTAGTGTCTTTCTATACCTATTCCAACCTGCAGGTATACAAAGTAATCCACTCCCATGACTCGCGTGCATCCTAACCAACTTCTTTCGCTTGACTACTCTTAATCTACATTTCAGTGCAACTTCTTTCGGTGGCTGCCGTTATTATACTTCCTGCAAATGGATAATATCGTTAGCCCTAAGAGATACCGGAGCTAAATACGCATATTCTAAACCCATCTTCCCTTCATTTAAAAATCATTCTCCGCGGCACAGCTGTCTGTGACATGCCACAAAGGCACTCGGAGATAAAGGAAGCACACAAGTCCGATACCTTCATACAACATTTCCAGTCTCGTGGGCCCTACTAAAAGGTCACTGCCCCAGTGATAAATGCCCAGATATTAATGTTACATACATAGCAACCAGCTTTCGAAGATAATGTGGGTGCTTTTCCTATGAAATCCATCAGTATAAATTGGCAGATCTAACATCAGCGTAAATAATTGATGGTGAATTAACTTCCCAACAAACCAATATCTCCATGGCAAAACTATTTGCTTACTAACCCGAGAATTTCCCTAAGGTTCAGTGGAAAAATGCTAGTACTAACGTGCTCTTAGCCTGCGCGTTCTTTTATTTGTTATGTGTAATGACAATATCCATGTCTACACTGAGCACAAAAGTAACAACTGAATACTAAGCGAAGCTATCCTTAAAACCTGTCATTCGAATTCTACCCTTTATTCTTTTTAGTATTTAGGATGTTGTTATATGTTCCATTTGCAATGGAGGATTGTCCTTGAAATTCCGCGCATAATTATTCTTATCTTATTCTTGAAAACATCGGGACTGACTGACCGAGTCAACATTCAATATGGTCCAAGTTGGAAACCTTAAAAACACCAATGCATTTGGATTTATTATGAACTAAATATCCCGATTAATTTCAACTGCTATTGTGAAGATGATTCTGCTCCTTATCCCTGCAAATTTTGGTTAACAGACAGACGAAACAAGTCAAAAATGAGCAGCATCTACATTAACTTATTTATCAGGTGGCCATCAAAAATCAGAGGAAGGTAAATAAATCTATTCAATCCGGAGAAAAAAACAGAAAACGTGCTGCCGGCACAAAATTCATTCCTAGTTCATCATCCACTAACTCCTTTTGGATCACCAGAAAACTGTCCCCCTTGTACACTAACACACAAGATCTTATTAGTATTTGTTGAACTTTGCCATCGTCAGAATTTAAAGTCTTGAGATATAATAATGGTTATCTAAACGTCGCTCACCTGTGAGATTACCTGCTAGGTCAATTTTGCGGAACGACAGAGTGGGTAGTAGAAGAGTAGTGACCGAATATTACAAAAGCTTCACTGTACACTCCAAGACCAGTAACATATTCGTCACTGATATCATTTTATGAAACTTGCGGTTGAATTATGGCGACTAAACCATGTGGGTGTAGTTTGTCGACTGTTCAAATGCACACAAATACGGACTACTTACCAATAGCTGCTTTTCGCATTGTGACAGAACGAAAGTGCGGAAATATGATCATTGCGAGAGATGTGGGCATCCATGATCTGTAAACTCCGTCAACTGAGAGTGAATAATTCAAGCCTCATAAGCAGGAGTTACTTTGTAGCACACCATTATTAGGTTAAGAACGGCACAATGAACTTCGATACCAGACTTAGCGCTCACCAGCCGATAGCTCATGGTTGGAGGACCTAATGTGCAAAGTTCTTTGTGTAAAAACTGTCACATTAGCGTTTGATTATATTTGCTACATTCAACCTCTCGTTATAGCCGAAAAAATGTAATTTATTACGCCTTACTGCACATTGTCCGCACTATTTAAAAACCATAGTTGAACTTTCATTACTGAGTGCACCCCGGAGATAGCATGGGAAACATTCCCAGATGCCTTCACGTCACTAGTTGCAAAAGCATCAGAGCCAAAAGCTTTCCATTGTTTCATCAAAATATAATAATTTTTAGAAGCCGAACATAAAATTATAACGCCTCGAGGGATCGGGCACAAAGTGTTAACAAAACAATCCCAGGTTCGAAAATTGAACAACTTATTTAGTTCAACGCAATTACCGTGGTTCGTGATGACAAGTTAACCCACCAACAGGAGCCAGCGAAATCACAAACTTATTTACGAACACATCAGTAGACTTCGTAATTTACGGCGCCTAATCTAACCACTTTCTACGGTTGGTGAGTATAAAAATACAGCGTGAGACGCGGTTAATAACTTACGTCCCTCTAACAACCTACATTTCAACAGGCACAAGATGCTAACTTTATCCTTGCTTCCTTCTCACCGTCAGGCATAATCAGCCTCACATTCACTGCAGGAAAGTTGCTGAAATAACTGCCAAACTTGCGTTTACGCAGCTCTTCTGAAGCGAATAACATTCACGCGAACGGTGTGCAGGTTTTAGCTACCCGCGTTGCCGAACCAATAGCTGGGTTCTTTCGGCGTTGTCTTAAAGAGAATGTAATTCCGCCAAAGTCAACATTGGGTATTAGCACCCTAATAACAATGGTGGAATCCGTTCTGAGCATTCCACTTACCGCCTGGTAACGCTTCTTCCTTGCTTGCAAAGCTACTGAAAGCGACCATCACAGACACACTGATGGGCTAATAGGAAATTAACAGAATCAGTGCATCGGAGCCGCAAGGGATTCGTCAACATCCATCAATTACCGCAGACCGGTTGATAACAAGCGGCAGCTGGACCGAATCGGCCGAGGAGGAGACTATAACCAATGTTATCCAATTGGACGTTCCAGAAACGTCCCTTCTCTTGGATCGTGGAATTTTGCTTAACAAACTTCATCAATACGGCATAAAATATCAAGTACGGAGAAGGATCATATACTTTCTCCGCGAACGGCAATAAGGTTGGAGTCCGAACCTTTTTGTCCGACCAGATTCGAATGTAGTAGGGCGTACAGCAGGTTAGATACATGGGGCATGCCTGTCCATAGTTTTCAATAACAAACTACCGAGAGTTATCATTACAGGATTTTAATGTTCACAGACGACGTTAGGGTTTGGCGAATAATTGACGGTTTGAATTACCACCATGTCCTCCAACACGACTCAACGTGGCCTGGAATTCATAGGCGAGGAACGCGCTGTATACATCCGCTCTCTACACACCTATATATAGGCTTGAGGCGCAAGAACGGAAGACCGCCGTCCAGGAAGCGGGTCTTGATGTACTGGTGCAGCACGGCCTTGGTTGTTCCAGGCATCCAGGACCCGCTTTCCGAATGGGTAACCGGTATGTTTGCTTCCTGCGGCGGCACCCAGGATTCAGGACTCATCTATCTACTCTCTGATGTTCAGGACCTACGTAGGTCTCCACATCCAACAAACTATCCAGGTCCGGCAACCTAACGAAAGACATTTGAGGACACTACAAAGTCGTGCAGTGATAAACATCAAGAGTTTGCACCAATTTCCATTCCGGAAATGACTGAATAAACGTGGATTGCTTAGTGGAAGTTACCTTCAGTCTTGTGGATATTAATTTTAGTTTACAAAATTCTGAGAGACCCAAGTCACAAATGCTTCCACCTTTTGAAACTCAGTCCGCTAACCCTAAAACAACCTTCCAAACTTAGCTACTTCCAAAAGCATTTAAACATCGCATTAAGTTCCCTACACTTTGTTAAATGAACGGAGAGATTAAGATATATTCAGGCTAGGTAGCATTATTGAACCTATAATCCACAGTGACTCATGTAAACCTGTGGAGAAGGGTGAGCTATCAAATTGTTAATTGTTACCAGCAATAATCAGAAGTTTTTATCTTGTTGGTGTACTGCTAGATTTACATGATCAGAACAAACAAGATCGAAACGCGTCGTGAAATGCAGTTTTGGTTGGGAAACATTCAAGTTCCTTCCGCTTCATTAGCTATGGTGCTACTGATCGAATTGACTAAGATTCACCCTATTGAGATTACTCGTTGCAATCCAGTCACACAAGGTGTACTTCATATCGACCATCCAATAAGTTTTTCCGCTTCGAATTGTACCGTCTCATTCCAATATTTGCACTGTTTTGTACTATTGATCCATACCTTCTAACATGCGCATTTTATTTGGTCCAATAAATTGTATTCGAATTTGCATTTGCTCTTATTACCAAAATAAGAAACATCTTAATCAATTTTGCCACTGTCCTTCCTTCTTATTATTTTTTTACCGAACAAAAATGAATCATCAATTTTGTAGCGATAAAAATTGAAAGTACTCAAACTAAAATGTAACTATTTTTGACAAAGTCCGTTACTAGAAATCCGTTTTAAAAATGACCAAATTAACGACGTCACATTGGCTAAACGGATAAATTTCAGTGAATGGACCCCTATATTTTCCGATATAGATGCACGAGCAGCGGACAAAAACTCATCCCCGAACAATGCCAATGTGTAAAATTTCTCAAATTCGACTAGAAAAATCATTTAATTTGTCATTCTCCCAGTTATTCCATGCAGATCCATGTTGACTGCAATAATGGTAGTCGTGAAAGCGCCGGAGGATCTGAATATTTGACTCTGCCAACTCAAAGAAGCCACAAACTGTCACCAATAATTCCACAGTAGACGGGTTCATGCCATTCTAGACTATAACTACTACCATTACCGCTTTGTGATTAACAGTGGACAAAGGCTGTAGGGCTCCATAATTTTTTCCATACGTTGCAAGCGTCACTTGGACCTACCATGTTCTAGAGCAATACATCTGGAGGACTTTTGCATCCTCTGTACCTGAACCGCATGAACGTTTAATGCGGTTCTTCTGCAATACTAATTCCCATGACCTGTCTATTTTGTTCAACTGTTGTTTACACCAAATGGACAATAAACAATGTGCACTTTGCGGTAGCTTTATGGGACTATTGCTGAATGATTTTGAGGCGGAGAACGGAGTAACCACTAAAGTAGAAAAATCGCAGTTAGTTACTAACGCATAAGCAGAACTTTCTGCATAATCGGAATAAATAGCAGTGCAGTACCATTATTTCTTTGCAACTAAACAGGTCGATAAGTTTAGAAACCAAGAGCACATGGAATGACAAACCTTAACTTATACGAATACTCAAGAAAGACTGCAGCGTGCAAACTAAGCTCATCCAGGGTGTAAAGCTATAGTGTTACTTGCAACCGTGATGTTGGTAGTTACGCTACATTGCTGATGTCATGCCGTATTTTATTTTTGACAATTTGTAGGATAGCTCTATGGTATCAATTTGTTATCAAAAGTTGCACAAATTTGTCCATCATTGACGAGTACGAAGTACTTACAACAAACTGGAAAAAAATCAACAACAATACACAAGCACTGGAGAAAATTTGATGTAAAAGTGGATTTTATTTGTGCATTCGATACAAACCTTGCGGACTTACTACTCTTTTGATCAAAATATGGGCTGTGTTTTTCCTGAGAATCTACTGTTGGGTAGGTTTTTGCAGCCGCCTGAAGCTGAGGTCCAGATTTCTTTATCCGGCGCAGCGCTATACCAACTGCAGCGATTAGAATTGCTGAAATAAAGAACGCTACGAAAATGATTGCTACAATGATATAAAAATTGAGTTGCGATTCGTTGTTGTTAGATGGGTATCTGGGTGTTTGTTCGTGCATAATTACTTGATAATCGTTGTTCATGTCCCCAATCGGAGCGGAAGTATCAATGTGTACAAAAAATGTGGCTGACGTCCGTTGAGTAGTTGGCGTCCCAAGGTCATGGGCAATTAAGTCAATGGCAAACAGTTTTCCCACATCAGCTAATTTAAGGCGACTGGCGAGGTAAATGGTTCCGCTTGTGTCTTGGATGGCGAACGAACCTCCATCATCCGTTCGTCGCGTCTGACTGTCTGTAGTTAGTTTATTTGCTGAAATGAAATCGGAACGGTCGAATTGTTGATTCACCGTAAGTGATTGATTGATTAAAGTAATGCGCTCCAGTTTGTAACGAACAGTGCCATTTGAGCCCTCGTCGGGATCGACTGCACGCACCTGGTGGACGACGAAAGAAGGTATAGAGCCGTCAGTCTACTAATAAATAGAAAAGCGCAAGGATACTGACTTGCTTTCTTTTACAGATGAAGCTATCCCTAAAGTTCAAATATAAAGCATGAAATAGGCAGAGGGATGAGACAACCCAACTAAATTGTGCTATGGCTTGCAACCAGATCCACAGAGCAACACGTTCTTTGTCCAAGTAACTGTGTGAATGAAGTACTCCTCTTAAAACATACGGTTGGAGATTAGTTAAATTAACTGCATTTAAATGAGGCACGCGCTTTAGATAGAAAACTGTACGTTTCTGGCAAACATGTGATAACTATCGATTGGGCGGTGGTACCGATACAGGAGACAAGCCACATAAACGGAGACAAGCAGCGAGTACTCCGAAACACAACAATCAGCGTCCAAACGCTGCTTTAAGCGCAGCTCGCGGAGTTCAGTGGTCTGTTGACCATGGCGATAGCTGCCAACTGCTGGGTGCCGAGTTCCAATCCCAAGTTCAGACTACCTCTACCTCGTGAGTGAAAACTAGGACGAAACGCGTGGTGGAGTGCAGGGTTGGGCAGAGCAACACCGAGTCACTCCGGTGAAGGTCCCAGTTCTCTGAATGGAGCAGTCTGACTTAAAAGTCAAATGAAGCCATAATTGAGACTGCGTGTCGCATTCCATAACACATGCGAAGATTTCCAATAACCAACATACGGTAAAGCACTTTTAACAAAATTGATTGGATTTGTGCAAACGTAAGCCCTCTGGAGGTAAGAAAGCATACAACTAATGCTTAGTTGCAACCCTTTATACCTAGTTTGAAGTCAAGAGTAGATGGATCTAGCGCTTAAGTATTTTAGGTGCTTTACTCTAAAAGATATTTAACAGGTGTTAGATCTTTTAATACAAGAAGTTTGCAATGATGTCAAGGAAAGTTGCTTTTGAAAACTAGCAGGTCGACCACTTTTAAACCGTTGTCTTCGCACAACTGATCGGCGAGATAAATGAAATTATTTACCTGTACTAGACATAAAGCAAAATGAGCATCTGTGCTGTTTTACCTTTATGATCCGCATCATTCAACTTAGAGGATAAATGAAATTCTTTTATTTGGTTACCTTAGAGACCTTTATCTCCAAACGTGTTACAGTCCGATTTATCAGGTGCAAAAAGAAAATCCTAGTTTGAATGGTACTTTACGCTCTGGAATCTAGTTCAGTTGCCAAGTAACTCTTGGAATTGCATTGCGATAAGTCCATCGCTCTTGTGTCTTGATTGTGATTTGTATAGGAAGTGTTCACGAAGTAACTAGTTATGACCACATCATTGTCAACTTTACGCTTTGATCATATACGGCAACTGATGCGCGATTGACTGAGCCCTCCATTAAGCGAGATCGTTAACTGTCTAGGGAATTACTAAATCATCCGTGCCAGCAAGAATAAGAGAAAGTATGCTAGTTTGTTTCAATTGCAAATATTGTTTCGACAAATTTTGGCTATCCATTTCACTGATCTTAGTTTTATCTGGATCTTTTTGAGCGATTATCCATATTGAATACGATCCGTACCTTCTGATCACAATGTGCCACCAGACATTAGCGTTCAGCCAACAAATCCTAACATTCATTTCACATAGAATTTGACACTGTCGTTCACACATGGTCCATAACAAAAATAATAAGTTGCTGCTAATTGTCTAGTTGCATATTCATTCGGCTTCGACTGCAAAACAGTTGCTTCTATATACTTTGAATGTTGGCCGGGATGGAAGACACAGGTGACACACGAAAAGAGTCGTAGGGAGATATAAACTGCACGCATTGTCATACAACTTCCACGTCGTGGCCATCTGGTTGTTGAACGAATGTGAATTAAACCCAAATGATGAAAATAAAGGCGACTAATAAGATAATAAGTATGCGATGGAATTCCATGGTTTACTGAAGTCTAAGTAGATACATACTGAGTAAGCATTCACTGCGAATGGTGATAATTTAGCATAGTAATTAAACCGATTATATAGATCTACCAAAAGCTTTACATTGCAAATTTTTGCGCACCTAAAGCTCCCCCTTATCCTGAATTAACCTTGGTTGGTGACAGATGTTCAAACTTCCGTGTAAAACAGAGCTTCCAAGCAGTAACGTTGGTAATATACACTCATTTCATGCTCTGCATGAAAACCTTCACTCACCACTCAGCGTATACAAAGACAACGAAGGGTCAGTAATTCTCCAACAGTAAGTAACTCGTTAAGATAATGGGTTGAAATGAGAAGTTATGCAATCGCCCTACAAATGCCTTATTGCCAATTTACATGTAACAATTTTAGCTGAATTAGAATCTAGCATTTTTCTTTGTAGTGGCTAAGATGCTATCCTTTGTTTAGAAGTACGCGGCAGTTTTAATATGAATAAAACTTATTATCGTCCAGCTTGACGTCTGTAACCCTACAGTATCCATGCCAGGTCTGTTTTCATGTTGTGTATTGAATAGTCAAACAGTATGTATGTACTTCAGTATGGCAGAAAGCCTCGCATCTTCGGTTTATATAGAAAGCAATTGTTTTTTAAGCGGTTCCGATAATCACGATATTCAGAAATACAATGAGGCAGAGCACCAGCAGTATGACAGTGCGCCGTACCGACACTTACCTGTCGCACAACCACCACTGGTCGCAGCTGGAATAAAGATACTACCAGTGTCGTTCTGCCCCTACACAGATTCGAGCCCGAGCCGTCAGATTACAAGAAAAGCGTTTTATCATTAGCCTACGAGTCGGCTGGTGTGCACTGGAATGGGACTTTGTTACATACTTACAGTCCAGTTGTTTCATTGATAAGGCCAATCAGTGTTTAAATCCGCTGATTCATGACAACCTAGGTACCTAGTAAAATATGCATCACCGGCAATGAACTAGAGGAAGGATTGTTATCAGTTCTTGACTGCAGAACATTGTCCATAAAAATTATATACCTTTACATAGCTCACTGCAGCCACAACTCTTTCAACTTCTTCCTTAAAGAAATGATATTCGCCCATAAAACATTCAAGGTGACCATTAACGCTATCAGACTGCATCCAAAGGAAACAACTCTTCTACAGTATGTACTGTTCCTTTGGTGACGTATCCAAAATCAAACGATAGTGTGGGAGATGAGTATTTAGAGTGAGATATTATTGGCTTAATTTGGATTGGTCTATCACGGAACAGTAATATTCGGGTGTGTTTGCGGCTGTTGGATGCAACTAAAGCGCATCAAGAACCATCTCGATAGATCTATGGGAGAACCTGATTTCCGTAAAGAAGAATTTGAAATCTTTATTGATACATTTGACTGTGAAAAGCTTTAATGCAGAGAACGGTCCTAGATTTTATCCAAATTTTTACTGTTAGTGTGCTGCTGGTAAAAGCACTTGTTTTCCCTAAGTAGATTAATTGTTGATTTTATTCACGCTAACTACAAACATAACTTCGAATCACAGCCAATAATCGTAAATGCGTACTATTCTTGTTTACAATCCTACTAAGGTTTTCGCGTATGCACTGCATCAGTCAAATCTCAATACTATGATACGCAAAAATGATAAAAGATTAGATACCCTTCCGTTGTCTCGACCTGCTTTCGTGAGTCCCCACATCTTGTTCTCACCACGACATGATCCCTATAACAAATGTAGATTTACGAAAGACATCTCGAAGTGCACTATTAATTACTGTCACCTTATGTGCATAAAATTCAAGGGTTTTAAGTTTCCATACTGGACGTATTATTTCGTTGTACACACAGTGATTATAATCTCACTTAGTTCTACCAAATTCAGCCATTTTCAACTGCGCACGTTAGACTACCACCTTCCAAAACGATCGCCATCTCAGTTAAGTCCTCTGCGTGTTGTGCTTCAAGGTCCAGTACGTTTTCATTCTACCAATTACAGCTGTTTCCGCCGGTCGACTGCACGTTGCAACCAGAGTCGTGAGTTACAACTAGAATATTTTTCCGTCAGTTAGTTAAAATTCCGGTTTTCGATCGCAAAGTTTACTGCTCAGTCCTTGTTTTCACACCTTAAATATAACTCGCAGTAGCGTTCCACATATATATATATATATATATATATATATATATCCGTACCGTGTATCATGATTAGCTCTGGCATGATTCCGTATATACAAATACTACAAAAAAGCAAGGTGCGATATCTACTTGACATCAAGATCAGAGAAGTAAACCGTCCATGGTTTTCTCCAAATTCCGACTTTTCGGTGGTGAACTATTTTGCCTTTCACTGTGTCCGATAGATAAAATTATACCAGTAATTGAACTTACAAACAGACCACAGATGGTGTGAAAGAAGATGAAAACATTCTACTGCTTTCGCATGCAACAGCTTGCAATCACTTGTTTAAAAAAGATTTTAAACACTGCTTTAAATAGCTTACATTGTTTTATTGAAAGCTATAATTCTTTTCCTGTTAACTAATACTGAAGCACATCCCAGGAATAAGGGTTTAATTTCGACAGCTTTTCGATGAACATGTAATGAAGGAAGTATCCTTAAATTCATCTTGGTTGATACGTTTGTGACTGATTGAGGTTTCTAAAATATATTCTAGCTGCTTGTAATGGCGCACTTATACCTTCAAGACGTGTTCAACTTCGGTAACACTGCTTGAATTGATTGATTGTCACTGTAGCTTGGAGAACTTCTATTGTTAGTGAAAAATCATTGTAACCGTATTTGCTTTCGTTATCAACCATTTCATCTGGGTCTCTGTGGATCTCTCTAACTTAAGCAATGTCCTCAATGTGTTGGACGAACCGGCATTAATAACCAAAATGCACTACAAAAGCCTCCCGAGTAGGTGAGTGCTGTTACATTGAAAAATCGCCGTATTTGGGTAGCTCCCACATTACGTGAAACGGGATTTACTATGCTCTCCCGGCTTTCTTCGGTTATCGATCATCTGATAACCAGCGAAACTCGTGTACGTTTTCA